GGATAGGCAAGGCGGGTTGTATGACGTGTGTGAATTCCGGCACCTTTTTTTTTTTTTTTTTTTTTTTTTTTAGAAAAAAAGCACTGCTTTTTGTTCTTTAATAGGAAGGACTTTTGGATGTGGAAAAATTGGAATGTGAAGATGAGCTGACTGGTACAGAAATTAGCTGTTTACGCCTGAAAGGGCAAATGATCTACTTACCTGAAGCAGATAGTATTCTCTTTCTTTGTTCTCCAAGGTAAGCAAATAAGATTTATGTCTATAGTGCATTTATATTGTTGCAACAACTGGAATTGCAGCCTTTGAAACCAAAGAACTGTGATGCAAAAGGTTCTATGTTTGTTTTATGTTATACTGCTACATTAGAAGATTCTTTTTGATTCTTGATCATGAGGTGATTAAACATTTCTGCTTGTCCTGCATCCTTGTATAAGATCCACTCTTGAAGCTGATGATAGCATCACTGCTGGGGAAAGTATCAAAGTATAATAATATTAAGAAAAAAATAGGCAATATAAAGGTGGCTGGTAATGGTACAGTCCCTCAATAACAATTATTTTAATTCTTGTATTTTGACTTTGATTTCAAACAATGTTGTCAAAGAATCAGTTATTGCAGCAGACTAAAGCTAATGTTAGTTGATGAGCTGCCTTTTTATAGAAATGTACCACATATTTTGTTAGAAGAATAGAAACATGCGATATTAATAGTGTATTAAATGATGAAATAGAGATGTATTGTTACTTTTTGGCAATTGAAAAATGTTTGCAAAACAGATTAATCGTTTATCTTTTACATAAGTACCTGAAAAATCTTACCCTGTCATTTTCTCATCTCACTTTTAATTGCATTAGTGTGATGAATTTGGATGATTTAACTAGAAGAGGACTCTACTTAAGTGACATTCCTCTGCATGATGCTACTCGTGATTTGGTCCTTTTGGGAGAGCAATTCCGAGAGGAATACAAACTGACACAAGAATTGGAAATATTAACGGATAGGCTCCAGCACACTTTAAGAGCTTTGGAAGATGAAAAGAAGAAGACAGATACGTAAGATTTAATCTCCTACTTAGAAAATGAAATGGTATAAATGATCGATTTTTATCACTCTGTCTTCTGTTTGGAGGCTCATAAACAACTCTGATTCCTAATTGCCTAGTTAAAGTCAATGACGTTGCTCTAGATAAAGTAAGATAAAAATGTTGAACAAAGAAAGACAAACATGTCTCTTGCTGAAGCCTGAGAATGTTTTCTATTTATAGTTCTTGCACACATGTGACCTTTATACTTAGGTCACCATTTCTCTATCAGTCTGGGTGGATAAAGAAGATATAAATGTTTGAATACAGTGAACGTGGTTTAATGTCATGCCATGAATGAAACAATCTGGTTATGAAGCTTTGTAATAAATGCATTCTTCAGCCTTCACAATCTAAATGCTCCCCAAATGACTTGCAATTCACTCCTCATAATGTGTAGTCATCATTGCTAAATTAATTTCTAGTTATGAGAGTGCATCTCAGAGATATCTATTTTTGAAATCCTAATGTATAATGGGCTACTACTGACTTTGTCTTTATTAAAGTATTTTCTGTTACAAAAATCATTATGCATTAAATCAGGGTTCCCCAACGTCCGGTACGAAGCTTACTACTGGTCCGCAGCAAGTGTCGAGCGAGCACACAAATCTCCATTTGTACAGGGGGCAGGTATGTGCACCTGCCACTTGTGCAAATGGAGCTTCGCAAGTGCGCGCACATGCCACTTATGCACAACCATCCCCTTTTCCACCCCCCTGTCACTGTTGGTCCAGAAAGCTGGAAAGGTTGGGGACTGCTGTATTAAATTTAAATAAGTAAAAATAAAATCAGAAACATGTAACAAATCCAAGTGAAGTGCTACAAAAATTGTTAGCTATTGATAATATAATTATAATTAAGAAGCATATTAATAGCAATTTAACCATATATCTATTCAGCAGAATGTAATTTGCCTACGTTGAGCTGAAATGATGTATGTCTCTATAAATAGCAATAAAAGAATATAAATAAATAAAAGTATAAAATAATTTACTGTATATATTTATTGTGTTGTTTGTTTAGAAGTAAAGTTTCTAATGCAAATTATGCCTGCTGTAGAATATAAGTTTTTAAATCAGTGAATACTAGATATGAATATAATAAATTTATCGGAATAAGATTAATTTATTTCTTTTCTATTTTTTCCTTTGCTACTGTTACACAATCTTATGTAGATTATTGTATTCTGTGCTTCCTCCGTCTGTGGCCAATGAACTGAGACACAAGCGTCCTATACCAGCAAAACGTTATGATAATGTGACTATATTATTTAGTGGCATTGTTGGTTTCAATGCCTTCTGCAGTAAACATGCCTCTGGAGAAGGAGCTATGAAAATCGTCAATCTTTTAAACGATCTTTATACAAGATTTGATATTTTGACTGATTCACGAAAAAACCCATTTGTTTATAAGGTAAATATGATATGTCCTTTCTGTTCTGTGAAGAGGGTAACACTATATAAGGGCGAGCTTATAACTAATAGTGTAAAATATATATGGCTGAGCATATTTTTTTATGTATTACGAACAACAGAAGCTAGAGAAGTGGGTTGCAGATTCCAAAACATTTTAGTGAAGTCTCAAACTATCTCTTGGCAACTTTCCTAATATGGGCTTACACAATCTGATGCTAGGCACAATGTCTACAGTCTGAAATTAAATTCCAGGTTGGTTTATCATGAAATAGAATGAAAAATCGGTTTTGGTTAACAGATTGCTAGAGCCTATACAGATAAACATTATAATAATTTCTATTTTATTATGTTTAACCATGTAGTGATAATTTTGAATATTACATGTCACTGAGGATTGAATATTATTCAGGAAAATACTGCTATAAAATAGTATAGATAATAGGTTTATTCCTTCAGGAAAAGATTGCCGTGATCCATGGTCTTGCACTTCCTTTTAGTGGCTTATTGGGAGATATATATTTTGATGTACTTCCTAATCACAACATTATTTTTAAATAAGATTTCTTCTATTGACCATACTGGACTTTTGGCAAATGAAAGCCAATGGGTATATTAAGATGGAAAAGATGTTATTTTGGGGCAAAAAAGTGCTACATTGGGATGGGAAGTTAGGAATACATCTCCCATAATTATTAATATGTGTATGTTCTGAAGATTTTAGCTTCTCAGGATTTGGGAAAAATGCGGAAGATCGGGTAAATATGTTCCATGTTTGATAACTATGAAAATAATCTTTCTAATGAAATGATATTGCTTTAATGCCAGATAATTGATAATCAAAGGTTACTACTTTATTGAGGCAAGCAAAGAAAGGAAATATCATATCATAACTTTCAGATTTATATTTTGCTAGGTTGAGACAGTTGGAGACAAATATATGACAGTAAGTGGCTTGCCAGAACCATGCATTCATCATGCACGTTCTATCTGCCACTTAGCATTGGATATGATGGAAATAGCTGGACAAGTTCAAGTCGATGGAGAATCTGTTCAGGTCAGTGATTGGCAACATATTATGGGATTTAGGGATTTTATTATGATGCAATTTCAGTCCTGACTTAATGTAGGATCAACTATCAGGTTTTTAAACTCCATAAAAATAGGCAAGATGATGACCCACATTATGGGAAATCTGTCTACTACTTCTTTACTTCCTGATTCCTTGTGGCTATATAGATAAAACAGTTCTTAAAATCGAGGGTTCATTAGTATACAATTATGGACAAGAAGAAGAAATCTTATATATGTTAACATGTCTCTATAATATAGTATTGTAATTTATCTGGAAAAAGATGGACCAATAGACTAATATTTCTTTGCAATTCTTTACTAAGCAATTGGTTATATTTCTAAATACATAATTTTATTTTGCCATTCTTAGAGAAAGTGTAGATGTTTTCAGAATTACATTGAATGAATTTTCTAGTTCAGTTATATAAATGAAAACTTGAAATAGACCAACTATACTATATTTGATCTAGGTTTGTAGTGTTGTGTTACATATTTTGGTATACAGATTCAGTTAAAATTAAGCATAAGGTTCATAGTGTATTCTTATTACTGACTAACAATACTATTGACCTAATACTCAATCAACTTGTTATCATTTTCTTTTCTGTTGATTTTTTATAATAGATTACAATAGGCATTCACACTGGAGAAGTGGTCACAGGTGTAATTGGCCAAAGGATGCCTCGTTATTGTCTTTTTGGGAACACTGTAAATCTCACAAGTAGAACAGAAACAACAGGTGAAAAAGGAAAGATCAATGTCTCCGAATATACTTATAGGTGAGAAATTAAGTTTACTTATATCATTGTATCTATTTCCAAAACACAAATTTTAAACCAAAAGATGCTTTATAAAATTTACTCTAAGGATATTTTCTTTCAATTTACACTATCTAAAGTTTAGTTTTAAGTTGAGATAAATTCCTGGTAAAATATGGATACATCCTTGTTATTTTTGTCATAACAGTATGGAAGTAGTTCACCTACAGATAATGCACGACTTATGACTACAGTTGAGATCAGAATTTCTGCTGCCTAATTAGGCAGTTGTTAAGTGAGTTGCACCTTATTTTACAATCTTTTGGCTACAATTGTTAAGTGAATCTCATGGTCATTAAGTGAATCCACCTTCCCCTATTAACTTTGCTTGTCAGAAGCCAGCTGCGAAGTTCACATGACACTGGAACATGCAGCAATTATCATAAATATACTGGTTTTCAAGCACCTGCATTTTGATCACATAACTGTGGGGAAGCTGGAGTGACTGTAAGTGCAAGGACTGGTCATAAGTCTTTTTTCAGTGCCATTGTAACATTGGACAGTCACTAAATGAATGCTGTAAGTCAAGGACTACCTGTAGTCTAGTTTACAATCCTGAATTCCCTTTGCTTCAACTTATACATGTCATTTTAGCTAAACTATTTAGATTAAACACTTAGCATTGCCCAGAGGAATAATATAATCATTTTCAAACAGTCTGAGTGGTCTTTATAATGTAACTTTTGACAAATATAATCTAATATTTAAATGAAAGCCAAGATACTAAATTTCAGTACCTTAACTAGGAATATTATTCAGATAATGGCTTTGGATGATCAGGCATTCAGCATAATGGAAGATGCTGTGTGTCTAGTGTCTCTTTTATCTATTTGTTTGTCACTACTTTCACATATCACTATAGGAAAGTGAGTGGTTGTCTCCCTGTTTTGTTTTTATTTTGTTATTTTCATTCATTTTTTGACATTGTACATTGTATTTTCTTTGATCTATCTATTTTTGGATTCTACAGGGCATTATGAGTGTGTGTACTCTGTGTATGGTCTTGGTTCTTGATGATGTTGACATTCAGAATGCCTGCTGCAATATGTTTGTTATCTTCAAAGGGCCTTCGAATTGTCTGCAATCAACAGACAAAAGAACAAAGTGCAAGTGCATATTTAAAATCTCAAGCCATTATCACAGTGTTTCTCAACCTTGACAATTTTAAGGCATGTGGACTTCAAATCCCAGAATTCCACAGCCAGCATTGTCCACATGCCTTAAAATTGTCAAGGTTGAGAAACACTGCATTATCAACATTATTGGTGGCTACTGTTTTTCTCAAAAGCTCTTTGCTGATAGCTTGTTTTGATTCAATTGATTTTTTTGGAAATTTTTGAATGTCATATATTCACCATTGGACTCTAAACATTCTCTTGTGCCTTTTTGCTTGCGGAGATTGTTTAAAGATGCAAGAAGATGCTGTATTAGTCAGCCTGTTCTGTTAAGGTGTATGCATTCATTTTGATCATGCATTTATGCCCCGTTTATGTCCATGGTATATTTTGCTGCAAAAGTATTTGAACTTGTTGATTTGGTACATTTGATGCAGTTATTAAAAAAGCAATTGAATTGCTGATCAAGGTTGTCTGTGTGACTTATAATTATACTTTTGCTGTTTGTGCTTCTGAGCATGTGAATGTGATTTAATATTTTCTGACAGGAGTGCTCATGCTCTGGAAGAAGCAATTGAAAGGCTGTGCCTTGGGAGATCAGAAACAGAGCAAATCTATATACCCTCACATTCTTTTCAGAGTTAGAAATCCTATAGCCCCCAGACAAATGATTGCTCCAAAGAAGGCTATGACTGAGGATACCAGATCCAGGCTGTAAAAATCCAGATGACAGCAAACAATAAAAGTTTTCTGTAACTCTCTGCTTCCTTCTGGTTGTCATCCAGATTTTGGCAGCCCAAGAGACTTAATCACTGTTCCTCATGGAAGAAATGTCCAGCACTGTTCCAGATTTGTTTATATTGAATCACAGCCAGTCTGAACTGTGTCAACAAATCTTCCAGAATTCAATGTTCTACATTTAAATTTCATTCATGCCCTTATTTAATTATAATCTGTTTAATTTCAGATGTCTGATGACTCCAGAAAACTCAGATCCACAGTTCCATCTAGAACACAGAGGTCCTATTTCCATGAAGGGTAAAAAAGAACCAATGCAAGTTTGGTTTTTGTCCAGAAAGGGCACAGAGGTATGACTAATCGAAACATTTTATCAAAATAAAAACAAAACAAAAATGATGCAAGGACTAAATGTGGTTTAAGTAATCAAAATATGTTCATCAAAATAAAAACGAAACAAAAAATGATGCAAGGACTACCTACATATAAAATCTAAAGCAGGCTTTCTAATTGCAAAACTGAATATCCTCTTGAATAAATGAGCCATTTAAAAATATTGCTATGTTAATATATTTGCTATTTTGACAGCCAATTGCTATTATATATTACCAGACTTTATGTGTTTGTATTTCAGGAAATTTTTGAGAAAATGCCAACTGATTAAATATTAATTTTAATCTTTTCTCCTCCTGCACTAGAATTGGTATTTATTTAATGTCTAGTCCTAGTGATATCAGACAATTTACTGTTTTGCACATTATAGTCAAAAGCTCTTTTTACACTGCTTACGCTTTAGATTTGTTTTCAAAAATGGTCAGAACTCCCAAATTGGTTCTGACTTTGAACAGAAAGGATGGATTCTGTGCTTATTTTAATTGCCTTGACTTTTAAAGTTACTTAATTGCTGGTGTACTTCATGTTTCCATGGCTAGAGGATTTTTTTTCTTTAAAGCCAGTCATAGAGTAAACTTTAAACCACACAAGGTTCAGAACCCGAAATAGCAAATTTAAAGTGGCATCATTTTTTTTAATAATCTGAATGTTGGAAATAAAAACAAGGGTGATCTTTTTCAGATGGAAGCTTAAAAATATAAAAAAACAACATAAACTAACAATCAAAAGAAAAGATAAAGAGTAAGAAGAAAATAGGGATGGAAATGCAAAAAGGTATAAAGAGAAAGAAAAGAAAACAAAGATATATACAAAGAATAACTTCCAACTTCTGCCAAGGATATGAGGAACACTTCCATTCAACTCTTAATAAATCTATTTTCATGGTCACAGTATAATATTAAACTGTTATCATATATAATGGCTGCAAAATAGCATCATTCTTGGAAGCAGTAAATAATAAATATCCAATTGAAAGATAAGTAAACAAGATTAGCCTAGCCTTCATTAAAATAAATAGAATCTAATGCTTTGATGTATTATTGAGAAAGAATCAACTCACATATTGCTCTATCCTTTGAGACATCACACAGATTCGTATCACAGTAGGTTGCAGAAAAATATCAGTAATTCTAGTGGCTTATGAGGAAAAAGAAAATGTTTCAAACTATTTAATTTCTATAGTTCACCAATTAAAATATATTTTTGACATGCCAGATATTATTATTAATAGATTGCAGTACCTTACTTTTTAAACCTTTTTTTGCATGCCTTCAAGGAAGTAACACATGATGCTAAATGAGCCAGGTGAAAAGCTGGAGAAGAACAGAGTGAACCCTGTCCTGCCATTTATCTAGCCTGGCAGTATAAGATATGATTGCAGTTGCTTCAATTTTATGTCCAACTCCACAATAAGCAGCAATTCTTACATCAAGTTTCTTGCTTTTTCTGCTTTTTGTTCAGTTTGTATTTGATATTATAATATTTATGCTGTACAGTATATGTGTTTCAAGATCTTTTGTCTTCCTTCCCGAGTTATGAACATAAATAATCCATGCAAATGCCTACTAATCATAAAATAATATTTCACACATGTGCTTTTATCTCTATATTTTGTGACTAATCATCATGATATTTAAGCTTGTGTATGCATTTTCTATATAGAAGAAAAATGAAGGCATTTAGTGTTAGGTTTATGGAAATAAATACCAATTTCCACTTAAGCTGATCATATTATTATGCATAAGTTATCAGACCTTTTATGTATATAATTGGTTTAAATATTTGTTTAAATTAGGGATAGAAAGACTTTCACAGAAAAAAATTAGATGCCCTATTTTAAGTCCCAGACTTAGGGCAGATTTTTTGGTCCCTCATCTGATTTATTTTGGAAGCATGTCTCTATGAATATTCATATTTATCCAATATGTATGAAAAAGGGCCATTATACAAATCAGCAGCAAATTGCTTTAAAAATGTTGCTTTAACAACATCCAGGGAAAAACATATGTTAGAGGAAATTATAGTATATGATTGCCAGTATGCCTTGATCTGTAAAACATGTTAACTTGTGAAACACATTTGGATTTTTAAAAATCTGGTCCTTTCTTATGTAGCCTTTTTAGAAGTCCTGTTCTTTTGGATAATTTCACTTGTATCAGAGAACTGAAACTAATTGTATTTTCATGATATGTCTCTAAAACTTCAGAGCATAGATTTTATATATACTGTAGTAATATTATCCCTCCAAGCTTATAATGGCAAGAACAAGAAAAAAATATAATTCTGTTTCAAATTGCATCCGGGTAGAATCTCCAAATTAATGATGATGCACTTCTGCAAAACATCTTTTCTACTGTTTATCCATAAGTAAAACATTTCACATATGAGTAAGTAGTAAAACCTTTCAAATTACCTTCATTTTATTGCTTAAAAACAATTAAGTTATATGGTGGGTGAATCAGATTCATCATGTGTTCATATAAAATCCAATGGAAACATAATACTTATGTAAACCGCATTTATATTTCTATGAAGTTCTGATTATTTATCCATATTCCAAATATGTCAAACTAATAAATATAGTTTAGGAATTTTGTAGGGAATAATATATCAGTTTAAATTAATTTGATATTTAAATATGTATTAGATATAAATAAATAAATCATGATGATAAGGCCAGGCGGGAGGCAGAGTAGAGTTGCTACTATCACGCAGAAGACTCAGATGGTTTTCTGCTTTTTTGACTTTGTGAAATTGCATTCTAGGGATCAGTTGGGATTGTAGTTACTGTACTAGCCCTCCTGCCTGAGCTATGTTAACTACAGTATTTTCCCAAAAAATAAGACTGAGTCTTATTTTATTTTATTTTTATTTTTTTGTCTCCAAAATGGGCACCAGGTCTCACCTCGCAGCAGTGGCACCAACAGCCCCAGCCAGCCAGCCCACTAATTCTGCGGCAGCTTGCTGCCACTCATGCGCGTTGCCCTCAGCCTCCAGGAAAGGTCTCTGCAGCCGAGAACTGAGCTCCGGATTGACTCATGCAGTGCCATGGGCCTCCAGGAGGTGTTGTCCACGTCAATTTGGAGCTCGGTTCTCAGTTGCTGAGGCCTTTCTGGAAGGCCTCTGATGGCAAAATGGAAGCCGGGGGCACCGTGTGTGTCAATCCAGAGCTCCATTCTCAGCTGCAGAGGCATTTCCTGAAGGCCTCTGATGGCAAAATGGAGGCTGGAGGTGACACGCGCATGAGCGGCAGCAAGCGACCATAGAAGAAGTGTGCTGGTGAGGTGAGGTAGGTGTCAGGGCATGGGAGACCTGGCTGCAACAGTCAGTAGGTGCGGGGCACGTGGGGTAGCTGCACCCCCTAAGCTTGATTTTTAGGCGTGTACCTCGCCCTAAAACTAGAGCTTATTTTTGGGGTAGGGCTTATATTAGGCCCACCCTCAAAAATCAAGCTAGGGCTTATTTTTGGGGTAGGGCTTATTTTGGGGAAAACATGGTATTTCCCATGGCAGAGCTTGAAATACTGCAATTTCCCAGACTCAGGCTATCCCATGTGTAATCTGAAATGGCTCAAAAGTGACTCAAAGGTTCATGGCCACCATAATTACCATGAGCTTAACCTGGGTCATCAAGGACCCAAGATGTACTGATGGTCACATGTTGGAGCTGGCTTTTTTTGTGCTCAGAACACTCTTGCAGCCCCAAAGATGCTTTTTCACGAGGCAACTGGACTTCCTTGTTTTTCTTTGAAGATGTTTTGCTTCTCATCCAAGAAGCTTCTTCAGCTCTGACTGGATGGTGGGGAATGGAAAGATTTATTCTCCTTGCAGACAGCTGGTTATTTGCATTCTTTTAGAGAGTCATTGAAATCACCTGGATGTTTATCTGTATCATCTGGGTCACCTGAGTAGTGCAAATGGGTATGGAGCCTTCTTGGAACAGTTGAAAGGACTATGTTGTAGACTGGAGATAGATTATGTTGTATCCCTCCCCCTCTATTGAGAGAAGGCTGTTCAGTTTTGACATAGATGGCCTCCTCTTTGACTCCTCTTTCAAATCAGTAGTCTTCTCTGTCCAAAATGTGGGCTTTTTTGTCTTCAAAAGAATGGCCTTTGTCTTTTAAATGCAGATGGACTGCTGAATCTTGTCCTGATGGGTTTGTTCTCCTATGTTGTGCTATGCGTAGGAGAACAAATCCATCAGGACAAGATTCAGCAGTCCATCTGAATTTAAAAGACAAAGGCAGCAAAGTCCACATTTTGGACAGAGAGTACTGCTGGTTTGAAAGAGAAGTCAAAGAGGCCATCTGTGTCAAAATTGAACAGCCCTCTCTCAACAGAGGGGAGGGATATGACATCATCTATCTCCAGTATAAAACACAGTCCTTTCAACAGTTCCAAGAAGGCTCCACGCCCATTTGCACTACTCAGGTGACATTGATGACCCAGATAAACCTCCAGGTGGCCTCAAAGACACTCTAAAATAATGCAAATGACCAGCTGTCTGCAAGGAGTATAAATCCTTCCATTCCCCATCATCTATTTAGAGTTGAAGAAGCTTCTTGGATGAGAAGCAAAATGTTTTCAAAGAAAAACAAGACAGTCCAAGTGCCTAGTGAAAAAGCACCTTTGGGACAACTATAACCTGGATAACTGAGAATCTCCATAAACACTCTTGCAGCTTTCTGTTTAAGAACCTTATGGATCACCACTCCTGCTCTCCGGAATAGCATTCCTCCTGAGATCCACTTAGCCCTGACCCTGTGTCCTTTAGGAAAACATCAAAAACTTGGCTTTTCCAGCAGGCCCAGGATCAAGGCAATTGATGAACTGCTTGAATGGCTACTATTTAAATATTGTATTCTCCAATTGCTGACATTGTTGTATTTGATCTTGTGTTGTTTTGTTTAAAGATGCTTGTAATCTATTGTACATTGCCTTGAGTCATTTCAGATAGCAGTCTATAAATTATAATTATATATATATATATATTAAAATCAGTAAAATTAATGAACTCCGGGATATAAAATAGCCTTCTTTATTACTGAGCTTTCGTCAACTAGCTGTTGACATCATCAGTGTAAGGGCTGAAGATTAGGAGAAACTGTACATACACTTGTATGACCGTTATAATGGTCAAGCTATAGAATGTACATATGAGCGCGCATTATTTTAGCGTGCAATGTCTGGCTCAGCTTATGTGCTACACTGATGTTGTAGGGTGCTAATGTCCATGCTGTTGCTTCAGATACCCCGCTAATGTAGGGGAGCGTTGTCCAGGTTATGGTTGTTGGTCTGTTTTGTGTTTTAGCATTTGGCAAAATGGTTGAGTGGATGGTTAAAACACCTGGTGGAGGGTAGCAGGACCACAGTGAGATCATCGGAGGAGTTCCTGGAATTATTAAAATCGCTAAGGGTGGAGGATGACGAGATCATGGTGCCATTCAATGTGACATCATTGTTTACCTCCATTCCACAAAACCTAGCCATATCAGTGATAAAGAACCAGCTACGACAGGAGGAACTGTGGCAAGCTCGCTCGCTTAATACGGAAGATTATACCCAACTAATGAGCCTGTGCTTAAAAACATACTTCACGTCCCAGGGTACAATATATGAACAAGTAAAGGGTACGCCAATGGGATCCCCTATCTTGGGGATCATTGTAGAGGCTGTCCTACAGGAGTTAGAACTCAAACTATTGGCCAACTACTGCCCTAAGTTTTGGGCTAGGTATGTCGACAATACATTTGCCATTGTCAAATGACAGGACAGCGCCAGGTTCATGGAAGGGTTAAATGCGGTTTACCCGGATATTCAATTTACTGCGGAGGAAGAAGCCAACGGCACTCTGGCATTCTTAGATGTATTGGTCAGCCGACAAACCAATGGCACCTTCCACACGTTGGTTTATCGCAAAACAACACACACGGACAGGATTCTGCACTATGGGAGTAACCACCTGATGTCCCATAAAATCAGCTGCATTTGAACATTATTCAGGAGAATAAACAACCATTACAGCACAAGGGAAGCAAAAACTAGAGAACGGACCCACCTCTATTGCATATGCAAACGCAACGGCTATCCGGCAGATTTCATCCGGCAACATAGCAGGCACCTAGAGCCCCATGAAACACAACAGACCAACAAGCACAACCTGGAAAATGCTCCCCTACATCAACGGGGTATCCAAAGCAACAGCACGGATATTAGCACCTTACAACATCAATGTAGCACATAAGCCGAGCCAGACGATGCACGCTAAAATAATGTGCCCCAAGGAACCTTTGCCAAAGGATGAAAGATCATTGGTGGTATATAAGGTCTGATGCAACTATTGTCGTTGCAACTACATCGGAGAAACCACAAAGCGACTCAAGACCAGGGTCCATGAACATAGGTTGGTGGTCAGACGATATGATCAGCACTCACAGGTGTGGATGTACATGGCTGACAGCAACCATTCATTCGACTTTGCGGGAGCAGAGACTATTGCCCAAGACCCTACGAAGAGTGGCCATTTGCTCAAAGAAGCCTGGCTATCGGATGAGTATTCAATCAACCGACATATAGATCTACTGTCGGCCTATCAAATGCTAAAGAAACATGAGCAATTGTGTAAAAACTTACAGCAGATGCAACAAATACCACCCAGTTTTAGGAGGAGGGAAGGTAGGAAAGATCCAGGACACCGACCCATAGAACAGCATAAAATCACAGTGAGTGGAGAAAGGGGGATGCCAACACGATCCACCAGGGCAGCAGGAAAGGAGCGACAGATCAGTGAGGGCAAAACAGGACATACGATGGAAGGAACATCATCAGATGCAATTGGGCAACAACTTACTGAGACTACAAGACGAGAAAGCCCAGAGGATGATTCGGCAATGACATTGAGCAGCCGCACACGAGCAGAACGGATGGAGAGAAGGAGGGTGAGGGGAGAAAAAGCGCCCGGATTCAAACACTCACAGGCAGACACGATGCGATTAGGAGCAATACGACTGGGGAGGGCGAGGGGAGGAGGGATCAATTACTCGCTCCATGAGCAGATCGTTGAAACAATCAACGATATAAGCAGGCTAGCCAAACCTTCGGCTTTTACTCTGGACCGACGAAAGCTTAGTAATAATATATATATATATATATATATATATATATATATATATATATATATATATATATATATATATAAAACACATGCACAGAGTATGTGCACATACACACAGTATATATATAAATATTATATTAATGTGCACAAGGAAGGTTTGTAAGTATGGATTTTTATGTTTTTTATTGCTAGTATGAGTGTACCTGGGATTTGGGTTTTTAAGATTATATATATATATTAAAAAAATCACACATGCACAGAGTATATGCACATACACACAGAATATATATATAAATGTTATATTAATGTGCACAAGGAAGGTTTTTAGTAAGGATTTTCACCAGAGTTTTTTTGCAAGATAT